GAGGGAAGAAAGAAGAAAAAGATGTAGGATATATATCGAAAACAGACAGGACAGGACAGGACAGGACAGGACAGCACAAAGATAAAAACAGACAGACAAAACCTTTCCTCCCCACCCCGATTACCCTCCCCGACTGGCCTACCGGCCCCAAGCTGAGCTGAGCTGACTTTGTGCGGTGCGGTGCGGTGCGGTGCGGTGCGCATGCGGAGCACACCTCTGCAGCTGCAGACAGGAGCAGGCCGGCCGGCTTGGGCTTGGGCTTGGGCTTGGGCTTGGTGGTTTCCCGGCTTGATGCTCGCTGTTCTCTTCTTTTCTCTTCTCTTCTCTTCTCTTCTTTTCTCTTCTTTTCTCTTCTCTTCTCTTGTCTTCTCTTGTCCTGTCCTCTCTTTTAGTCGAGCAGCGTCTTGCAAGGCTTGAAAGCGCAGGTAGAGAGGTAGAGAGGTAGGCTGTTGAAGGGGCTGCTTTGTGGGGTAGCTGTGGGGAGGGGGGAGGGGGGGAGTAAGTAAACAAGTAAACAAAAAAAGCCAATTCCCTAAGCGAGATCAGAAGCAGTCTGTCTGTCTGCTTTACCCCGGCAAGGGTAGAAAGGGAAGGGGAGGTGGATGTGGATGTGGCGGAAGAAGAAGAAGTGGAGGAGTGGGATGTCTTGTTATCTTTATTATCGCTATTGTTACTGTTATTATTGTTATTAGTGTTATTAGTATTATTATTATTATTGCTAATTGCTAATTACTAATTACCATGGGCTATCAAGATTGTTTGTTGTGGAGGGTGGGCAGAGGAGGGAGGCATGTAGATATGTTTACCTATCTATCTATCTATCTATCTACCGGTAGTCCCCGTCGAGTTCCTGCCGAATTCAGGATTCAGGAATAAGGAGAAAATAAAAAAAAAATATGCCGGGTTGGAAGCTGGATAACGAGAGCTAGAGAGAGGCAGCAGGCAATGGGAAGTTGGAAGTCTTCGTGCCTGCTACTGTAGAGAGATGCAGAAGCTAAGAATGTACATGTGCGAAGATACACATACACATACACACATACACATATACACATATATAAAGCCACTCACTCACTCACTCACTCACTCACTCACTCACTCACTCACCCACTCAGCATAAACACCACCCAAAGCGCAGACCCACCCAGCCAGCCAGCCAGAAACACACACACACACACACACAGAGCAGCCCAAAAAAAAAACCAAAACCCAAATAAAAACATACAAAAGCACAAACACAAAACATAAACACACAAGCAAAGCTACCATCCGGCTGGTTGGCTGGGCTATACAAAAACAGATACCAACCAACCAACCAACCAACCAACCAACAAGAGCAAACCTCGTCTTCTCCCCCCTTCCCCCCTTCCCTAGCCCGGAGAAGACTCGAAGTCCGGACCTAGAATCCAGAATCCAGCTGCAAGCTGCAATCTGCAATCCGCGAGGCAATGCCAATGCAAAAGATAGAAATGGAAAAGGAAAAGGAAGAGTGAAGGAAAGGAAAAGAAAGGAAAAGAAAAGAAGAGCGAAGAAATAGATTTTTTTTTTAAAAAAAAGAAGACAAAAAAATCGCAACACAGATATACATAGTGAAGGACCTGAATAACAGGCATTCCTCACTCACCCGTTTCAGTACCGGCTATTTAACTCACTGTAGCATCACCTTAGTGTAGCATCACCTTACTGTAACATCACCTTACTGTAACATCACTTCGCTATATCATCACCGTTGGTTGGTTTTCAAAATCCGATCCGCTTCTGTTTAGCTCTACGCAACTGGCTAGCTAGCTAGCTCACTAGCTCGCTCAGACATGACACCAGATGCAGGTACCAAAAAAAGAAGAAGCTATTGTTTGCTTTTGCTTTGGCCATATGTCTTTGCTCGGTCAGGCATTCTTCCGTAGCCCGCCAACCCCAGCCAGCCAGCCAGCCCAGCCCAGGAACGCCAACCAGCCAGCCCATGCAGGACACATAAAATTTCAACTCGCGCTCTCTCTCCCCTCCCTCTCTATCCTGCCATCATCCCCAGCCCTGGCGTTTGCATGCACGCTGTAAGGGTTCTATTTTCGCGAAAAGTACTTCAGAGAAGGGAGGACCGCTCTCACTTCGCCACCGCAGCACTCAACACCTGCGTTCGGAAGAAGCCGCCCTTGGTCCGCTCAATGACCTGTTGGTACACGCTGCTGGGCGGGTGGTTCATGACCACCGTGCCCTCCTTGTAATCGATCTTGGCATCCACGCGCGTGTCCCGAATGAGGTTCACGATCCACTTCTCGCCCTCGTCCTGGTTCAGGCCCAGTCTGGCGCTCAGATCCTTGATGTCGATTCTCTGGTGGATCTTGCAGTAGCTCTCGGAGATGAGGTGACGGGCAGCCTCGACGAAACCCTCAGCGGTGTTGGAGAGGAAGAAGTCGGACTGCAGGACCGCCTCGGCCTCAGAGAGTTTCTTCTGTGCCTCTTCAAAGTCAAAGTCGATGTACAGCGCCTTGATGAAGTCGGTCACGGGATCGCTGTACTCGTAGTTCTCCTGCTTGACGATGCGGATGATGTCCTTGAGCTGCTTCTGGTACTGGCCCGTGTTGCGCGTGCGGTTGCGGTTGGTGATCACAGCCGCGGCTAGGTATCGGAGGATCCAGGGGCACGCGGTCTGGATGGTGTTGATGAAGGGCGCCGAGAAGAACATCTCGCAGATGACGTCGCGGCCGGCCTCGTAGTTGAAGAAGGGGAACAGCGACCAGTGGATCAGCCAAGTGCGGTGGGTGAGCTGCGCGAGCGGGTTGCTGAAGAGCTTGGTATCGATGGACTCCTTGACCTTGGTCACCTCCTCCAGGACACCCTCCCAGTTCCCAGCCAGGATCTCACAGGCGAGCTTTCCCCAGGTGGCAGCAGAGACCTTGGCCTCATCTGTAGACAAGACGCGGAACTGGTAGAGGAGCTCGCTGGCCGCGTTGTAGTTCCCGCAGTTGTACTGAAAGTTTCCAAAGTCGTACAGGACGTTGATCAGTTCGATGGTAACCTATTCCTCGATATCAGCACAAGTCCTCATTTCCCTTCCCCCCGGCCGGTAGACAGATGGTCTCAGCACCAAGAACGTACATCGTGCTCCTTCTTCAAAAACTCCAAGTTGGCAACCTTGTCACTTCTCAGCCCCGTCACAACGTCCTCCCGGCTCAGCAGATCCGTAATCTTCTCGCTCTCCTGCCCGTACTTGTCGAGCCGGTTCAGCACCTCCTGCCGCTTGACGGCAAACTCCTTCGGCGGCTCGTCCAGCCCCTGCATCTCCATGTACAACTGCGCCACGTAGTCCGTCATGTTCGTCTTCTCCAGAAGCTCGTATTTGACCTTGGTAGCGGCAGCGCTGATCTCATCGTCGTCGCTGTCACCCAGGAATTGCAGCAGCGGGAAGATAAGGTGCCGGTCGAGGTGCGCGATCAGCTTGGGCAGCAGGTCGTGCTCCTTGGCTATCTCCTCAGGAGACTTACGCGCGATTCCGTTCTCGTCCGCCATGATTGCGGTTGCGGTCGGGATGGGATTTCTCGAGAATGGAGAAGGTCGTCGTCGGCGGCGGCGGCGTTAGGTGGGGGGTTAGGTATATATTCCCTATTTCGTTTGTGCGAACCGTCAAAAAAGATATCGGCCGCTACTCCGCTTCCGTACTAGCGCAAGGACTCAGGAACATCCAACATGCAACTCCCCGAGCCGATATATTTTGTGGTTGTCCTGGACTCAATCCGATCGATACCAGCAACGCAACACAGCAATGGCTTCCACACTCTTTCCCCTCGCATTCCTGCGACCCGCAGCTCTGCCTCGTCCAGCAACCGTCCAGCGATTTCTCTCCGCGAGCACGAGCGCGAGCCTCACGCGAACATCCATCCGCTCCAACTCAACATCAACATCAACATCCACAACCACAACAACGACAACGACGACCACACCACTCCCCCCTACAGCACCGCCAACTACCACCTCAAACCCCCCTCTTAAATCCTCTCCAACCACAACCGCCACCGCACCACCAATCCTCAAACCCTACCGCCTCACCCTCACCCCCTCGCACCAGTACCCCATCTACAACTTCGCAAAGCGCGGCGGCAACATGAAGCTTACGCGCGTCAAGCGCATCGAAGGCGACCTGGCCGTCCTGCGCCAGGACCTGCAGACGGCCCTGGGCCTCGAGGACGGCAAGGCCGTGGTGGTGAACCCCGTCACGCGGCAGGTTATCGTCAAGGTGTGTTTTTCTCTCATTCTGTACTCGATTCGAGGGCAAGGGCACGGGCAAGAATAAAAGCTAGGGCCCCAAAAAAATACATGAGGAAGAGGAAGAGTAGCACAATTTCTGTGTGTGTAAGAGTGAGGGAGAGAGACAGAAAGCCACAGACCAGTGACTGACTAGGAAAAAAAAAAAAAAACAGGGCCACTTCAAGTCTCAGATCCAGCAGTTCTTCCAGGACAACCCGACGACGGTGGTAGCTGCTGCGTAGCTAGCCGCTTCGCATCAGTAGAATGAAGGAAAGCTCTCTTGCTCGCTTAGACTGATCAAAATTTGATGGTTGGACCGCCCATGATACCCATGCTATATACATCCATCCATCCACCCACCCACATAAATTTCCCCAAACGAGAAACGAAATCAACCAATGAAGGCCACTTCTCTCTCTCTCTCTCTCTCCAGGAAGTCCTTAACCTGCTTAGCCTATGAATACGGAGGAGTAGGGAGGGGGCGGGAGTACAGAACCTCGAATCTCACGTCTCCTTCCCCGTTTACCCGGGTGACAGACCAGAGGGAAAGAGGAGGAGCAGCAGGCAGGCAGACAGACAGACAGGCAGGAAATGATTCGTGTAACCTTTCACTACTACTACTACTACTACTACCACTACTGCTGCTGCTGCTGCTGCAACTACCTGCCGCTGTAATACCAATATCCCAATTTACCAACACAGCATGCTATTGTAGCGTAGCGTAGCGTATTATAAGAAATCAAGATGTCCGTCCGTCTATCTGTCTTGTCTGTCTGCATTTCATCTATACCATCATCTCAATTATCCATCCACCCTTCTATCCATCCCCCTCTCCATCTTCCATCTTCCATCTTCCATCTTCCATCTTCCATCTTCCATCTTCCATCTTCCATCCATCCATCCCCCTTCCCTCCATCTTCCATCTTCCATCTTCCATCTTCCATCTTCCATCTTCCATCTTCCATCTTTCTTCACATGTGTATTGTACATCGTACAATGTACCTACATTCATTCATTTATCCATCCCCCCTCCCCCCTAACCCGGCCGACACAGACACAGACACAGACACACAAGCTAGCTAGCCATACAAGCTGAATGAATCCCTACTTACCTACTACTGCTACTACTGCTACTACTATTATGCCTGGGATCCAATCAGTCAAACGAAGAAGAAAAGAAAAAAAAGACGAAAAGTAGAAAAAGCAACCCCCCCCCTTCTCGTCGTCAAACCTACTTTATCATAGGCATAGGGCAGGGGCGAGCCAAGGCTGATTGATCAAACAGGCATGTATCCATTTCGTAACTAACGCCTACCTACTCCGCACGCTGCCTAGGGTCATTTAAATGCGTCTATGGAAAAGCGTGGTACAGTGACGATGATGTTGATGACAAGAATAATAGTAGTACTAAGTAATCGTAGAGAGACACCCCGATCCAAAACTATGTGCCCAGCCCAGAATATGCACACAACTGCTTCAACACCCCTTGAAGTCGGGGCGAGGCCGTCCGTAGCGCGCGTAACAAGTCGTCCCTGGAGGGCAGGCCAGAGAGGGGTATATTGGAAGTGAGGCCTTCCGGGTCTTTGGACTTTTCTGCCAGACGCCGCAGCACTGTGACGCCGCCCATGGTGATGTTGAGCAGAGCCTCATCCTCCACCCCCTTGGGAAACGCGGCTGCCCTCTGATGCGGCGGTGCCGGGAGTGACTCGACACAGAGCGCCATGATAAGCTTGGACAGCTTCTGCGCGAACCCATCATTGGATGTCAACCAGGACCGTGCCACGCCCGCATCGTATCCAGGGGCGAGGTTGGACAGGATCTCTGCGGCCAGGATACCCTGCATGATCGAAGGCTTCCGCGCCTCGACGAGGGCTCCTCGCTGGGACTCCACCTTCTCGTCAGGTATGATTGATATGGCAAGACCGAAGGTTCTGGTGAGCAGGTCGTACGGCGGCAGCGAGGCCACATCAGAGGCAAAGATCGTCTTGTAATGTGACCGGTTGGGTTCGTCTCGGGCCAAGAGCTTCGCGAGGGTGTCCACCGCACATGGAAGATAGATGTGAACGGCAGGATCGTAGGACGAGAATGAGACGGTCGAGTCAGCGGCATTCGGAGGTGGACACGGGGCGAAGGCGAGGAGGAAGTGCATTAGACACAACGCCTGTTCCCGTCCAGGGAGCTCGATCGACTGCGCCAGGTTCGACAAGAAGGTTATGACGTCTTTCATAAAATCGATGGTGTTCTGATTCGTGCGCAGGAGCATGTTGCGGGTGCCCAAGTACCGGATGACCACACAGAAGAATTTGATGACAAGTTCATCCGCTAGCATTAGGTGATTGGATTCTTCGAAAGACAGGTTTCGGAGGATGGTCGTTAGACAAATTAAACGGTCCACGGATCGATCGAGCTCGTATTCCGCAGATCCAAAGGGCGGAAGGTCTCTCAAGGCTTGCTGATCAACACGGCACGCCCGAGCCACGTCTTCATACGAGCTGATCAGCATCACGTCGGAGACCTCGGCGGCGTTCTCTGCCAGCAACTCCACCTGCTCCTCGGCACATTCTATTATGCACTCGACGAGATCCTCACATTGACGCATGTCCAACCGTAAGTTAGACATCGTCAAACTCGTCAGGGTGTCTAAAGCCAGCCGCACCTCACTGTGGATCCCACACTGGAGACTCATGGTCAACGCATGAAGGTCGATAGTCCCGAGCACACCAAGATCGTCCACTCTCGGGACATCGGGTCGCAGCGCCTGTAGTTCCTGTCCGAGGCTAGCCAACGAGACCGGTTCGTAACCACCGTACGTATCCAGCACTCGTTTCTTGACTGGCAATTTCTCGGGCAGTTGCACGGGGGTGTGGGCGGCTTGAGCTGCCGGGTCTGCTTGTCGGGACATCATGTTTACCGGGAGAGATGCAGGCATGGGGGAAGGCATCGGGAACGCCGGTCCATTTTGCGGCGGTGTTGGATCTATGCTTCGAGAAAGACTGTTTCGCGAGTGACTTTGTTGGGCCACTGAGTGAGGCCCTTGGGATGGTTGCGGCGTCGAGAAGCCATTGACCGAGGGTTGTTGAGAATGATGCGTGGGCGGCATGGGCTTCGCGGGAGTCGGAATTGCATGTTGTGGTTGTGGCAGTGGTGGTGGTGGTAGTGGTGCCTGTTGCTGCTGCTGCTGGTGCTGCTGCTGTTGTTGTTGATGTTGCTGCTGCTGGTGCTGCTGCTGCTGCTGCTGCTGCTGAAGGTGGTGCTGCTGCGGGTGCTGGTGCTGTTGCTGCACGAAGTTTGGTGACTGCTGCATAGCTTGAGGATTCATCTGCTTCGTCGGCGACATCTGTTGTTCCAATGCCGGGTTCTGCTGCATCATAACCGCTCTCTGCCGCTGTTGGTTGATTTGCCATGCATCTTCGAACAAAGCCAAGTTTCGCTCGTAATGGTTCCTCAGTTGCGCACCCGCACCCGGATGTTGGACGGGATGGAACTGCATGGCCTGAGCAACCTGATTCCACCCATTGGCCTGTGTGACCTTTTTGTATCCACCGAACTTGACCACGGCCATGTACAAGGTGAGCAGTGCAATCTGGCGATCGCCCACCACGGGGTTCATGTCCAGCGGGAGGCGTCTCATCTGCATGAATTGCACCAGGCTTTTCATGAAGCTTTCGGGGTTCGGCCCACCGCGAGGCGGGTTGGGAGGCTGCTGCGGCCGTCCAGCAAGCTGCCCATTTGGCATCTGCATTGGCCCCTTGGCCATCGGACTGGCCCCGGGAGGTAAGGGTCCCTGGCGCGCCATCATACTCCGCTGTTGCTGCATCTGATGCTGCATCTGCATCTGGTAGAGCATTTTGGGCTGCTCCATCTGATTCTGGGGGCGTTGCTGTCCCGGCTGCGGTTGCTGTCCGGGCTGGAACATCTGGGACTGCGGCATCTGGGGTGTGCCGCTCTGGGGGGGCGCGGAGGTGGGTCCCGGGGGAGGCGTGAAGTTTGGATTGAAGCCTTGAGCGAAATTCGAGTTGTGCGTATAGGGATGGCCATTCTGCGGCGTGTCCGTCCGGCTCCCTTGTTCGGATTGTGATGGGGAGAAGGAGTGAGGGGAGGCCGTCGAGACGCGTTGCGGAACGCCGCCCGGCCGCAGCTGGTTGGCCATGGTCGGCGACGGGCTGGCATCTGCAGCACCATTCTGCAAATGGGCGTACGGTGTCTGCTGCGGCGCATGGGAGGGCGCGCCGTTGTTATGCGGATACCCAGCATATGGGGCTTGCTGGGGAGTTTGCGACCGCGAGTTCGGCAGCATGGACGGCGGTTGACGCGGTGATGCCCCCAGGCTGTCCTCCCTTGATCTTTTGGATGGGATCACCGGGTTCGTCTGATATTGGGCATGATTGAAGGCGGGCGACCCCGAGCCATTGCGCATCCCTCCGTTCTGCATCCGCTGCTGCAGATGGGCGTTTTGGAACTGAGCCGGATCGAAAGAGGAGGAGGAGGAGGAGGAGGAGGAAGGGTTGGGGTTGGGGTTGGGGTTGGGGTTCGGATTGGTCATGAAGGCGGATGGGTTGAGCATGGCTGCTGGATTGGCGGTGTTGGGGTCCTGATGGTTGAAGCCAGTGCCATTGTGGACATAGGCATCGTTCATCGTGCGCTGGTCGTGAGGCAACCCATCTGCGAGAGAGAGCAGTCAGCCAAATGATCGGCGCGCATCCATCGACGATTCCGCAGGTCGAGTAGAGATGAGCAAGCGTGATCAGGATGGACGGGCACGCGATACTGTCGCGACGCGTTCGAGGAGGTGAGAGGGAGAGGATAAGGATCAAGGCTAGTGGCCTTGCAAGAGGCCATCGGCCGCGTGGCGGGTGAGGCAATCGCGATCACAAATCACCGCCGGGCGCGCGACGGTAGCCTTCACGTATCGCAAAACCTGGGCATGGGGATGGAGAGACGAGAGGGAGGGCTGCTGTTCTCACTTACCTAATTCTGCGGTGATGATGGCCAGAGGTGCGCTCCTCTCCCTCGACTAAATCTAAGGCACGCCAATCCGGATTGGGACTAGGCCGGGGCTGGTCGACTGGGTCGTCTCGATGGGGCGCGAATCCGTCTCGTCGCTGTCACACATCGTGTCAGTGAAAAATGCTTGTCTGCTGCGCGACTGCGCATGCGGGCATTCAGTATGGATGGATATGTAAGTATGCCTGCGGGTCGGAGATATTCCGAGTTGGTGGTGATGGTGGTGATGGTGGTGGTGGTGCAAATCGGGCGGGGATTCGAGGTGGTGAGAGGAAGAGAGAGAGGGAGAGGGAGAGGGAGAAGGAGAGGGAGAGGGAAAGATAGAAGGAGAGGAAGAGGAAAGAGAGTGAGAGTGAGAGTGAGAGGGACAGTGAGAGGGAGAGGGAGAATGATCACGTTCTGGTGGCGTGATCGGATATCCACCAGAGCTGAGGTGGCATGTTGGGAATGGAGAGATGGGAAGAGGGAAGAGGGGAGGAGGGAGGAGGGAGGAGGGAGGGAGGCGCACGAGGTTAAAAGAGAGAAGTAAGAAAGCAAGGCATCGGGACGGGACGTACCTAATCAAGCCTGGATCGGTCACCTCAGATAGAGAGGTCGGCAGGTAGGGCAGGTAGGGCAGGTAGGGCAGGTAGGGTCGGGACCGGCACGTCAGGTATGCTCAAGTGGTGCCGAGGGATGGGGATGGGGATGGGATGGGATAGGATAGGATAGGATAGGATAGGAAGGGATGGGGAAGGGATGGGATGGGATTCGATGGGATTCGATGGGAGGGGTAAGAAGGGGAAGGGGCGTATGAGGTGGATTTTGGCTTTGCCTTTCGCTTTTTCCCCTCAGCTCAGACCGGCTGACAAGAGAGAGAGAGAGAGTGAGTGAGTGAGTGACACGGTTAGGTAGGGTAGATAGTAGCAGGTAGGTACCTTCCAAGGTCAAGAGCCAACGATAAGGTAAGGGATCCGGGGAAGGCGAGTAAGTGGTGCGAGGGCCGGAAGGGGGGGGGGGGGGGGGAGGG